TTTAGCGTCGGTTAGCGTCGATTAGCGTCTGGGGGTCGATGAGAGAACGCCGATTTAGCGTCAGCTAGCGTCGGTTAGCGTCGATTTAGCGTCGATTAGCGTCGACTAGAGTCGATTAGCGTCGATTCGCAAGAGCCGACCAGATGGTATGGGAGGCTCCCATGAGTTGCCACCGAAGGTCCGCGATGCCCTCCAGCAGGCGCTCCAGCGCCACGGCATCGAGGGAGAGGTGGAGTCCGCCCGCATCATCTGGGGCGAGGAAGCGGGCGAGCAGGACCACGAGGAGTTCCGGATCGCGGGCATCGGCGAGCACAACCTGAAGTACATCATCGCCTGCCTGCTGATCGTCATCGTGCTCTGCGCGGTCATCGTCTGCCTGGAGTGCTGCTGGCACAAGCATGCGATGGCCAAGGAGGCGGCACACCACGAGGCTCAGGAGGGAAAAACACACAGACACAATTCATCGTCGACTCCCCAGAAATATGGGAAAATATGGGGAATCCTTTAATTTGTGTGTATTTCTTTGTGTGTCCCAGGGCCCCTTCAGAGGCCTTCTCCAGCACCTCCCGGCAAGACGTCGTCGAGACCGACCGGCTGGAGGCCGACGACGCGTCGGAGGGCGGCGGCCACGAGCACCAGACCACCGTGCACGTCACCGTCGACGAGTAGGACCTGCGCGGGGGACGCCTCGCCAGGGCGCGCCGCACGCGATGCGCACGGGGCGGCGGACCACAGGTCGGTCCGCTCTCGTCGCTGCTTCTCTCCCTCGCTCTCTCTCTCTCTCTCTCTCGCTCGCTCGCTCGCTCGCTCGCTCTTGCTCTCTCGCGCTCGCTCGCTCTCTCTCTCTCTCGTTCTCCCTATGTGGCTGTCGCTCGCGCTCGCCCGCTGCCTCTCTCTCTCTGTCTTTCTATCTCTCTGCATGTCGCGTCCTCTGTCTCTCTCTCTCTCTCTCTTTTTGTGTCATGTTTCTTTCTCACTCTCTCTCTCTCTCTCCCTCTCTTTGTTGAGCGCGCGCTCTCTCTCTCTCTCTTGTTCTCTCTCTCGCTCTCTCTCTCTCTCTCGTCCCCCCTCCCATTGTGTTAATTCTCTCTCTCTCTCTTTGTTGCGCACGCTCTCTCTCTCTCTCTCTTCTCTCTGTCGACCTCCGTATTTTCATATATATATATATATATATATATATTCTCACTCTCTCTCTCTCTCTCTATTATTTTTCATAGTTTGTTTGTGTTCTCTCTCTCTCTCTCTCTTTCGCACCCCCTCCAGTTGTTTTTTTTTTGTTCTCGCTCACTCTCTCTCTCTCTCTCTCTTTGTTGCGCGCGCGCTCTCTCTCTCTCTCTACCTCTCTCTCTCTCTCTCTCTTTCTTCTCTCTCTCTCTTTCCCTCTCTCTCTCTCTCTTTCGCACCCCCCTCATCTCCCCTCCGCTCCCTTTCTTGCTCCTCCTGTTACTGCACGCAGAATCAGCTCGGGACCGGACCTGGCAAACGCCACCGCTGCCGATGTACAGTAGGGGCTGCCCCCTGGCCCTGGCGCCGGCGGCGGAGGAGCTAAAGTGCTCTCGCGGAGAGGCGCCCTTTTCCTGTCGAGCCCGCAGCACAAGCAAAGTTGGTGCCGCCCGCTTGCTGCTGCCTCGGCAGAAACAGCCTGGCCGCCACCACCGTCGTCACGAAGCAGCGTCACCGTGCATAGGCAAAGCTGGCGCCGCGCGCATGCTGCTGGTCCGGCAGAGACAGCCTGGTCGCCACCACCGTCGTCACGAAGAACCGCCACCAGTCATCGGCACCAGCGCCTCGCAGCACGCCCACGGCAGGTGGCGCACCGCAGTCCCGCTCGGAGGCACGTCGAGCACTGACTGCTTCGGAGGGGCGTGTCCGCGCAATCAAACCTCCGCGCAATGGAACCCATGGCCATTGCCGTCGACGTCGACGTCGTCGTCGTCGTCGTCACCGTCAGAACGAAAATTATCATAACCTCCACCATCATCGAGCCATCACCATCATCGCCACCACCACCACCATCATCATCATCATCATCATCATCATCATCATCATCATCATTATCATCATCATCGTCATCATCATCGTCATCATCATTATTAGTATTATTATCATCATGATCATCACCATCCTCATTATCAACATCATTATGATTATCCTCATCGTCACCATTATCTGGATCATCATCATCATCGTCATCGTCATCATCATCACCATCATCATCATCATCATCATCATCATCATCATCATCATCATCATCATCATCACCATCGTCGTCATCGTCGTCCTCGTCGTCGCCGTCGTCGTCGCCGCCGCCATCGCCAACAACATTATCATCGCTTGGTATCACCACCGCCACCAACAGCATCATCGCCATCACGATCATCACCACCATCATCCCCCAACCCGTGCAGGCTCTGCAGCCTGGCCGCTGTGCGTGGGCGGCGCCAGTGGTCAGGCGGCTCCTCGACCCGGGCTTCTGGGGCGGCCTCGGCGGCACGGCGGCGGCCTGCGCGGCGAGGGCCGCGGTGGACCACGCAGCGACCAGCGATCTCGGGGGCCTCGCTTCGCGCTCGGGGGCAGACTTTCGGACGCATTCTTGCCCTTGGTATATCCTCCTCCTCCTCCTCCTCTTCCTCCTCCTAAGGCATCTGGGTCAGGAGCGCCCGCACAGGTGCCCAGGGCGACAGGCGCCCAGCTCCCACACCACCTGCATGCCTCTTCTCAGAGACATCCCTCTCACATCTTACCTCGTTTCCGATGGCTTCTAGATGTCTCAGTGTGGGCTGCTGGCTCCTGCTCGTGCGCGCGATGGTCGGCAGCCGCCTTCGAGTGCTCCAGTATAACCCCTTGCACGCGTCCAGCGGGGAGAGGCTCACCGCGATCGCACAGGCCTGCCGAGCCTACGACTTCGTGTGCCTGAACGGCACGACTGCCAAGGGCCACGGACGTGAGAGACCCTGGGAGGCACGCTGGCGGAAGGCAGGAGATCACAATTGGTGTATAGAGAGCGGGTGGGCTCGCGGGCCGTATACCAACAAGAGCGCGGGCTGCAGCATCATCCTGGGGGCCAAGGTGAAGAAGGCTTCCGTGACGCACACTTGGACGCCCGCTGGGTCTCTGGCGGGGCGCGGGCTTGCGCTCCGCGCCAGGTGCTCCAGGTACGACCTCGGCGTCTGCTCAGCCTACTACCCACCGCCGCCCGTCAAGGGCGGCCAGGACGTCTACCGCCGCACCTGCGATGCGCTCACGGACTGGCTCCGCTCGCTGCCCTACCTCAGCTCCAAGCGGGTCCTCCCCATCTTCTGTATCGACCTGAACTCAGGGCTCGGACTACACCAGCTCGACGGCGACCCCCAGTGGCGGCCCACTACTTCCGACGTCAGCGGCCCGCTGGCGCTGGACAAGCAGCGCTACGCCGCGACCAGCATCCTGCCCCTCATGGAGGAGCTTGGCATGGTGGCGGTCAACAGTTACATAGGCCTGGGCCCGACGTACTTCGGCTCGACGACGGCCACGCAGATCGATTTCATATTCGTGCCCAAGGCCTGCCTGGGCGACATCACCTCGGCGGGGCCGCTTCGTCGCTTGGGGAGAGAGCTGCAGGTTATCGCCACCCGCTCGCCCAGGGACCACGTCCCAGTCCACGCCTGCATGTACTACTCAATCTCGGCCACCACGGACTCCCACATTCACTGTGACATGACGGAGCACCGCCGCCTGGGCTACCTGCCGCGTGCCATCCGCTGGAACCGTGAGGCGCTCATGCAGTCGCTTCGCTCGGGCCAAGGCCGCGCGGCCTTCCTCATCGAGCTCGAGACCTACTTACGTGAGCATGCGGACGAGTGGGCCACCATCCAGAACGAGGAGCAGACACCCAACGCCGACTGGGGTTTCATGATGGACGCTATGATGACGATAGGCAGCAAGCATTTTGCTCAGGCCCCCGAGTACCGCCCTGGATATCGCACACTGGCCGCCACCATCCAGCCGCTCTTGGACCAACAGCGGGCCCTCCGACTCCAGCTCAGTGACGACCACTTTTCGGACGGCGCCGACGGCGCGCTGGCCCTCCTCTCCGTGCAGTGGCAGCTCCGACGCCACACCAAGTGGCTTCGCTCGGCCCGCAGACAGTACTGGGCGACGTGGCGAATCGACACAGTCGATGAGCTCAACCAGGCCCGACGTCATGGACGCAGCGCCGAGGTGGCCCGCCTTTCCCGACTTCTTGCTGGCACAGGCGTGGGCCCCCGCAAGAGAGACTACCGACGGGCGCCCGTGGCCCTCCCCACTGGGGAGGAGTTGGCCGAGCGCTGGTCGCTGCCGGCTGGCGAGGGGGGCATGGCGGCCACCCACATCGACTGGGTCAAGCAGGCCGAGGACTACATCTACCACGACGTCACGGGCCAGGAGGCGCAGCAGTTCATCGCCCCGTGGACCGAGGAGGGCCTGAGCTGGGCTAAGCGCCGACTTAGAGAGCTTCTCGATTGGCTGCGACGGGCTCCCAAGCGTCGTGCTTGCCCTCCGTGGTCGGTCCCGCTGGAGATATGGTGGATGCTGCTTCACCCGTATCGCCGAGTGTCCAGGCGCTACCACGGAGTTGGCTACGAGACACCGCAGATCGACCAGGAGCACACGTGGCGTTTCTTGGTGATCTTCCTCCACAGGCTCCGACGTTCGGGCCAGGTCCCGCTCGTGTGGCACTTGAGTCAAGGAGTGGCGCTCACCTGGAAGAGAGTCATCCATCTCCTCGACCCTTTCGGCAAGGGCTTCATGGCCACGGCTATGGACCCACACGAGCTGCAGGACGAACCTCTTTTCGCTCATGGCTGCGTACCTCATCGGCGCAGAGAGACGGCCATATTGGGCCAGCAGCTGTGTACATGGAAGCTGCGCTCCCTCGGCCTCAATCACGTCACCGACCTCAAGGACATCACCAACGCCTTCGCGTCCACCAACTGGGACAGCCTCGCAGACGCCAATCAGAGCATCATGAAGGATGACCAGGTTTCGTTCGGCCGCCAGCGTTTCCGCTTTGCCGCCGTGATGTTCGGCGACCTCTGCGTGCGCCCCAGCGTCGGGGCTCTCATTGGCGACCCGTGGGCGGTGAAAGTCTTTGTGCGGGACATCAGCACCGTCTTTGCGAAGGTGCAGGAACAGTTCGTAGAGTTTGGCCCCGAGACGGCTACCTGGTGCCAGCTCACGCTCAATTTTGACGGTGAGGAGGTTCTTCTTGATTTGGCGTTTCACTCATACGTAGACGACGCCATTCGGAAGATTGTGGTGCCGCCCGACCAGGCCACGGCCGCGGAGCTCGCGCGGTGGTCCCGAGCATACGACTTGCTTCTCTCTGCTGAGCTCCGACGCCACGGCTACGCGCTCAACCCAGCCAAGAACGTCAGCCTCCTGTCCTTCGTGGGCACGGGGCTACCTGCACGTCGGCGTGAAGTGGCGGAAAAAAAAGTTCTTCTTGCAGGGGCCCCAGCAGACTCAACCCGACATCTTGGAGGCCAGGTCATGGGTAACTGTTCGTTTCGGGCCGAGCTTTCGGCCCGCCTGGCGGCCATCTCGGCGGGTTTCTTCTCCATGGGAAAATATTGGTACGCTCGGGGGATCGCCTACACCGAGCGACGAGCCGTGTTCCTGGCCAGGGTCGTGGGCCCCGCGTGCTCCGCCTGCGAGGCCTTCCTGCCGACCCCCAGCCAGATCGACCAGCTCACGGCGCGGGTCGTCTTCTTCGGGCGCAAAGCCATGAGGGGGGCCGCGACGTCTTGGGAGGGGGGCCACGCTCGTTCG